TTCTTCTTCTTAATATCTACGTAGTCTTTGGAGACCAGTTCTTCCAACAATCTGTTGGAATCCGCTGGATATTAATTGTGCCCATCTATTAACAGATCTGTTTTTGTATTCATAATAAATTAAAAAACGTCTAATGAAAAGAAGTCTTTTGTGCTGGCTTAATTTAATATTCAGAAATATATGAATCGGTATATTGACGTCGTTTTCTCAATTAACAATATTCATTCTATTCATAGGATGATTCGATCTACTTGTATATCATTGATCTCAATAGACATTACAGAATCTGATTCATATTTGGATGTTTTCTAAAGAAAGACATTAATGGTAAACAAACCACTAAACTTTCTAATAAAAGTAATGACTTCAACTTTCTAATCGTCAACTTTCCTTAAATCTGTAGCATTAAACCATTATCCTCTGTATAGAGTGTTTTTATCTTCAAGTTGATTCAAAGCACAAGAGCATGTTCTACGTATGAATAATTTCTAAAACGAATCAGACTACTAACAAATAAATTGATGATACAAGGGTATCATCAATCTTGTTTAAATCAACATTTCGCAAATTCTACGATCGATATAATGACAGTTTTTGCAAGTTCAATCTGTCGTGAAGTCGAACATTAACTGCCTTATTTCATAGAAATTGGTAGGCCATTGTTTTCATATTTAGTTGAGTATGTATTTCTCCGAATTTGCAAAAGTCCGAAGATAGTTGAAATATTTGTAACATCTTATTTGTCAGTTGCTTGCAATTAAAAACATTGATTGTACTCAGAGATTGCTCTTGGTTATCGAAGCAGTTAGGAGACAAAAACACAAAAACACAATATGCAGGTGTTGCTGGAATATTACTACTTGCGCCCCGTTATTAGCAGACCTGATTTTGTATTCGCTTGAAGCAGAATGTAGTCAAAAACTTATACAAGAAAAGAAGAAAACACTTGCCGTGGCAATCAACTCGACATTTAGCTATATTGACGGCGTTTTATCAATTAACAATAGCTACTTCCATTCATATGTTGACTCGATAAATCCCAGTGAACTTGAAATTAAAGATACCACAGAGTCTGTCACATTGTACTAGAAACATCTGTTTCATATTTGGATATTTTACTAGAAAAAGACGTTAATGGTAACTTATATACAAAACTTTATGATAAATGCGATGACTTCAACTTTTCTATCATCAACTTCCCTTACTTATGTAGCAATATACCTTTATCACCTGCATTTGGGGTTTATATCTTCCAGTTGATTCGATACGCAAGAGCATGCTCCACGTACTAACAACTTCTAAAACGAGGTAAGGTATTGACAGTCAAGTTGATGAAACAAGGATATCAGAGGTCTCGTTTAAAGTCATCATTTCGCAAGTTCTATGGTCGATATAATGACCTCTTGTCAGCAAATACAATCTATTATTAAGTCAAATGCTGACTGACGTTTTTCCTAATAATTGCTAGGCCATTATTTAAACACTGGATTGTCTACGGATGTTTTCGTTTGCCTGATCATGACAATGAGCACATAGCAGGTGTGACCGGTCGACAGGGGATGCTTACTCCACAGTGGCACCTGATTCACTTCTGACGTTTTTAGAGGTCCGTGTTTGCTCTCCTCTCGATTTATTTTGTTTCAATGGGCTTTTGAGCTTGATTACTGTTCGTTATCCCAGATTATTTAAATAATGAGAGTTGATAAAAGCTGATGTCAATCGTTTTTCATACAGTTTAGTTATTGAGCCATTACCGTCTATAATCAGTGAAAAAATCCAAACATAAAACATGTGTAGCAGACTCTTTGATATCTTTTATTTCGAGTTTACTGGGATATATCAAGTCGAAGTATTAATGAGCGTAAATATTTTTAATTGATAATACATGTACGTCGTCGATATATATCTTAATGTTGAGCTGAAGGTCACAGTAGGAGTTTTCTTCTCATGTAGCAGTTTTTGAATGTATTCTGTTTCATAGGAATATAAAAACAACGGATCGGCTAATAATGGAGCACAACTAGACTTTGCGAGAAGCACTTAATCTTACAGTGGACGGCTTACTTTGACATTTATGCACGATGGCATAAAATTGATAAAGATAAGAAAACTTTGATAGTGATTAGAGGTAAAGAGGTGAGCTAACATTAATTAACCGATATACAATTAGCAAAAAAGATTATGGGAAGCAGGATAACATAGCTTGAAATACCTTATATTCTGGAAGGTTAGTACTGTATAGCTGGAATTTATAGCGGGGCTCTCTAAGTTTGGTTTATTTAAGCAATTTTATGGTATCCCGCTAAAATTTTAATCGCTAAATCTGCGTATAGGTATTTGTGTTTAAGTACGAAATACAAGAAAAATAACTTTGGTGCAGCAGTTTGTTGTTAAACATTATCTTTCATTCTAATGGTTTTTACTAAAACTTTTACGTATATTAAACGTACTGAATACAATGTACTCATGTACAAGATGAACTTCTTTCCTTTTGGAACCCTGTGTCCGCCAAAATTATTAGTATACCTTTGAGCAAGCAAAACGCCAATTTTTACTCTTGCTAAAGAAACCCACTACACGGCATCTCTTTTCACACTATCATTCTGAGGGAATCAAATACGGGAGAAAACGTGTAAGAAGGAAAACTTGGCATAAATTGGTTAAGGTGAAAAGGAAAGGAGGGTTGAAGGAGTGTTGCCGTTCCCTTACTAGACAACGTGATATGTGCTTTGCAATGGCCCATTATTATTTTTGAATCAACCATAAGTCTAAGAATTTATATCACTAAAGGGCTTCCGTATAGTATCTTGTCCCAGTTTCAAAGTAAGTCGTCGACTGTAAAAGTTAGCACCTCGCAAAAGTCCATCAGTATCGATCGGATTTCCAACAGATTGTTTGAACACCTGATCTCCAAAAGACAATTTTGTGCATGACCAACCAAAGATATGAAAATTTACAAGTTCCATTTTTACTGAGAAAACATCTATGATTTAAAAAAGACGGCTCTTTAATTTATCGAGAGGAATTGTTGTAATAAGAAAAGTCATACCTGGTATGTATCGAAGCATATGGTTTTGAAAAAGTTTTGAGATTTCAAATTTTCCAAGAGTTTTTTGGATTTTTTTTTAGAATCCACATTTCATTCAGACCACTTCTCACAATGCGCCTGAAGCTTCTCCTTCACAACGGTTAATATTTTGGTGAGGTGTAAGGATAGGTGCTTGTTTGAACATTTACTGGATATTGTAAAAAACATGTACCTTTGTAAGGATTTTTATGAAGGTTTGGAAATTGGAATCCAGTACAGATACAGTAAATCAAACTCTCTTCCATTGACTGGAATGTTAAAAGTATTTAAAATTGAAAGTTGATTTTAAAGAATGTAATTTATTGAAAGAGAATTGTAAGTATATGTTGGATTACGAGATGAGGAATTAAAAGCAGGTTCTTCTAATATGCAATTGTAATAATGAATCTTACGAACAAAGACTATAAAATAACAGGTTTTGTCAGCTGGAACCAAAAACATTTTTCATGTGGTCTTTCCTATTCTTTCTTCAGTTCCGGTCTACTGAAAAAGGAAGCATAAATTGTTTGTATTTTGTACTTTAATTTCCTAATGCGAATTCTGACTGAATGTCAAAGATCTCCCCCTTCATATTTAGCCCATCGTCTAGCATTTTCCTCGACGGAGATCATAATATATAGAAATGAAGCCCTGTCGCCTTTTGAAAGATAGGGGCTCCCTTAATATAGGACTTTTTAATATGATTGCTTTCAAGTCATTATTTTGAATATACTTATATCACAAGTAATAATGTGTCCAGATGGACTGAAAGTTGAATGAAGAGAAAAAGAAGAACACTTAGTTACATTTCACATGAGTGAAGAATTCTCCAATGGGACGTTAAACATACAATGAGTACAACCAAAACTAATACTAAGATTCAACTAAGAGAACTATTAGTTCTTTATTTTTTATGGGGTGTAATTTGAGAATTTATGGTTCTTATGATGTACAACGTAATTTGAAAATTTTTGTTAGGTATATTTGATTTAAATGATATTGTGAATTGTTTTGGCAGATCACATGACGCTTAAATCTTGTCTTTCCTACAACCATGTATATGTCTTATTATTGTCCTCATATTAATCAAAATATAAATATTCACATTGACAATTACACTTGACATTCATTTACAGTTATATATTTAATACCCTTAGATTATTTCATGTAGCTTTTCTTCGAACTTTCTTCTTTCTTACCCAAATACCAAAATCGTGCATTTTTCCTACGAAATTGATAAATATACCAGAGAAATATATTGAATTCCATGATAAACAAGAGCGAATCCAAAAATCTGTTAGTCCATTAAACCATTGGAGGTTTATAAGTTTTGCATTTTCTCTTCCATCGACCAAAGATATATTCTTTATCCTTATGAGTATTCTGTAAGAGATCATTAAAGCTTTTCTTGGAGCATACAGACTGTGTCTCCTGGTTTAGAATTTATTCTAGTGTAGCTATATAGTACTTTCTTTTGATGCACAAAGTTTGATATTGTATTGTAGATTATGTCGCGCGTTGCAATGTCGATTTACTGAAGTTTTATGAAATGTAATTGAACAGATTTACGATATACATTGGACAACACTTTTTTAAAATTAATTTTTATTTACATCAACTATTGCACACTTCAACAAAGTCACTTAAATCTGCAGAATCACATCTTAGTAAAATATGCTAGATTACTGTGTGTGTGTGAGAACAAACATAAAATGAGGGGATACTTTACAAGTACTCAAAGGTAATGTACAAGCAATGAAGAAATGATCAATCATAAAACAAAACACACTATGAAATATATACGAAATTCTGACTATGATAGCCTACTTTTGAATACTAGTATACTATTTATGGTATCAATATTTTCATATTTGCATTATAATGGTAAAGATAGAGAACAGAACACGGTAGTCTTCTATTATTACATTAATTGCTAGTCCACCTCTCCGAAGACAGAGTCAGTCTGACTATCCATACGTATAACGAAACTCCTTGACCGCTGTTTAGATATCCGTGGAGAGAGGGGTAGGAATGGTTTCACTTCTTTCAAGATGGTAGATTGACGGATTTCCTTACTCTCCCTAGGTGAGCACTCTTGCGAACTGACGTCCTCCACTGGAGGAAGGGGCAATCTAGTGTCATCAATCAAGAAACTTCGGAACTGTGTCCTTTCTCGTCCAAGTGAGAGTTTTTTCGGAGACAGCATCACTCCAGCAGACAAAGACGGTTTGAGCAAACGTTCACTTGAAATACTGTTAGTTGGAGAAGTATTGCCTCTCGGTGATTCGTGAGTTGTTTCTGACATAACACGAGTTATTCTAGATCTAGGACGGGAACACGGCATTTGTAGTTCCGGAATGTTCAATGTCATGACACTGGCTGTAGAAACAGACCATCTACTATTCGATTCCACTGAAGCACCGACATTGACGAGCATAGAATCGACACTGTCTGCGTTGGTACTTTGCAGAGAAAATCGACGGTCATTATCAATTCGTGGTCGTTTTACAACTGTGTGTTTCAGGAGATTGTTTTCCTTCTTTGAAGATTTTGACTTATCACTTCCCAGTGAAGATGAGCTGGACATACATGCACGGGTTTCCTCGAGACAGTTTTCACTGCTTACATTCACTTGTGAAGATATTTGTCCGTGTATCGTCACTGCAGATGACTGTCTTAGAAAAGTCGGGATGTCTCGACATAGTTCATGTTCTTCTCTTGGTCGAGGAGATCTTCTTATTAGTCGAAAAACATGCGTTGGTGTGGTATCAACATTTCTTCGCCTAATGAAATTGATGAATGATTTTCGCAAAGCACCGCTCACTCCAAAAAGAATAAATGGTTGGATGAAACTTGCAATTGTATAAAATAAGAGACTTATTCCAGCGAGTTTGCCTTGGATATCGAGCCAGAAAAATGCAAGAGTCTTTAGACAAAAAGCTATGATGTATAAGACTGACAACGGGGAATTCAAGTATGACAACGCAATTGTTGCTCTTATTTCGACCCTTGGAAGCATAATTGTTTCATCTATTTCACGAAAGGTTGTTAGTGTTGGAAACAATGACGCCCTTGCCATTCCTATCCTTTCTTCCCTCAATCGATTTTCTGCCTCGGACTCCTCAATAGGATTAACTGATATTCTGTTCCCTCCCACACAGCATGATGTTGTTTTCATCAATGTAAGAATGGAAAAGAACGTAACAGCCATTAGAGGAATTACATACATCATCAAATTGATAAAAAGCGGAAATGTATCCGCGGATAAAACGCAATGGTAGATACCCGGCATGTATCTGTAGCTGTTGTTTTGCAACAGAGGAAATCCGGACAGAAGACCTGAAAGGATAAATTTCATACAACTGAAAATCTTTGTTTTTAACTTGAATAATTTAGACGCTAAAGGTGAAAAACAGTGAAATATCAAATAAATGCGGGGTGGTTGATTTTGCCTTGATAGTTATTTCTTAAGAATATGTAATTTATAAACACCCTGAAAGAATATTTGTTAATAATCCTTCTTCTGCAATAAAAACAGAAACCTCCTCTAAATATTTTTTGACTATACATTATGAAAAAAGCGGTACAAGGTGTTTAATTCTTCTGCAATAAATACAGAAACCTCCTCTAAATATTTTTTGACTATATATTATGAAAAAAGCGGTACAAGATGTTTAATTTCCTGATTTGTTAATTTTAAATACATATGTATCTTTCAAATGTTTAAGGGAAGCATCTTCATCCAGGAAGGATAACTCTTCAAATTATTTTCTAAATTTAAAAAGTTTCAAAATAAAGCTTGAAATTGCAATCCCTTTTTATGTAACAATTTTCTTCTCATGCATCTGTATATGATTCATGGTTCTTTGAAGTCTTAGAAACTGTATTGTAAAATGTTGACATTTGTACCCCATAAAAGTACAACATTAATACCTTTTAAGAGAAATCAAATTTTCGATAATTTAGCCTTAGATACCATTATGATTTTTAGCATGATATGAAATTAGAAGTGGTCTGTAATGTCCAATGATAGCAAAGCTTTTTCGGTATGCGTTATATAACAATTGAATTAAAAAAAGAACTGAAATATCAGAATAAGTTTAAAAAAGAAACATGCAGTTTTCTCCGAATGCCTGGATATCTGAATTTTTTTAAATTCCAAAATGCATTTTTAATCAATTTGAAATTAGAGAGAAAATGCATAGCGGTGCTTTCATTCGCGTTTCTGAAAAAATATTTGAGATTTGATAATTTTCCCTAGATAATATGATGAACGATATTGATGAAATCATGGGTAAAGACACATAAATTTGTGAATACAGAAACATTTTTTGTGAGCATTTTCAGTTACTTAACTGCTGATTTTCAGAACCTGGGGATCCGGCTACCTTAAATCAAAAACAAAATAACTGATGAATTAAGAGCAATTGATCCTAGATCATTCATTATGAAAAGGTGCAGAAATCATAGTACTCTACTACCCTTACGAAAGGTATTGCATTCTGGTTTTGTTTTGTTTGTACTTTGATAGCTATTCTTTTTTTTCCAATGTACGTTTTATGACATAAAATAGTCTCAAAAAAGGATTAATTTTCTAAAATATATATTTTATTCTTTTTTAGCTTGTACTTTTTTATGGCTATTCTTTTTTCCAGTGTATGTTTTACGGCGAAAAAATGTCACAAAAAAGGATTAATTTTCTAAAATATTTAGAGTAAGTGAAAGTTGTCAAGTTTATGATTTAGAGTCGCACACCAAATCCTTCAACATATAACTGTTCCGAGATCCTTCTAGAGAACTCACACAACTGGAATAAAAGCTAAAAAGATATAATCGACTTACCAGAAAGCAAGAAAATGCCAACAATTCCAGCGTTGCAGAAACTACTGAGAGGCTTTGACGGATTTTTTGTTACCAACATATAAAATCTGTAATTAAAAAAAAGAATGGGTATTAACAAAACTTTTTACTTAAACATTCATTTTCACCAAATAAAAGAACCATAAACGACCTAAACTGATCCCTCACCTTTCGATTGCCAGGCACAGCATGAGAAAACAATGTGATGATAGCAGAGTGTTAGAAAGGAGACCCTGTAGAATACAACCTCCACCACCAAAGATCCACCCCTCATTAAGCATAGAAACACAGGATGGAAGTATAAGCAGCATGCCCAGCACAGCATCAGTCAGTGTGAGAGCCTTTATCACTTTTGCTGTAAGTTGATCAGTTTTTATGGATAATCAGGGTTTTAAAAAAGGAAATTGATTGAATTATTTAAATATAAATTGAATTTCATTTGAAAGAGCAACTCTCGACTTCTATTATTAGTATTATTATTATTAAATAGTTGTTGAAAAGTAAACTTTAACAACACTAAAAAATTACCTGTTACACTGTCGAGCTTCTTTGAGTATATTCCAATGATTAAGAACAGATTTCCCATCTCCGAGAATACCAGACTCACAAGCATAAACCCTCCTAAGAAATATCTCCATTCTCCAGTATTACCCTATTTTGGAAAAAAAAGAAAGTGGAAAATGAAAATAAGTTTTTACTTTGCAGGGTAAAAACATAAAAGAAAGGGACAGGTTTCTATAATTGTTGTGATTTTTTTTTTTACCTTAACGTATGCGGTAATAGATTCACTCTGATTCATAATGGTTCAAGGGAATACTGCGCGTAGGTCTGCTTTTGAATTCAAATATAAAGTATGTTAATGAATAACAAAATTATCAACCAATCAAATTCATCTAAGAAAGAAAGTGAAGATGGAATTTTATCGAAGACCTATTTTAGAATTAGAATTCACGATTTGCTAATTTGATAACCAATCATATATATACCTTTTTAACATCACTGCCAAGATTCACGCGCATCCAATATTATTTTAAACCTCAGAGATTCACAATTACATCTAAGTATCTTTGCAAAATCATTTGCAGTAAAAATAAAACATGTTAATGAATAAGTGTGGGTAGATAGAAAATGTGCTAACCAGGTTAGAGAACAATTATTGAAAAAAAATGACCCTGCGATTTTTTTGTGAAGTTATTCTTCTTGGAAATCAATAAATTAACAAAATTAACAATTGCAGGTTTCATTCAATAAGTTTTATATATTTCGACAATTTAACGCCAATCCCAAAATACTTACACAATTTAACGATTCAAACACCTATTCCCACCATCACAAAATTTAAATAGATGCTGATCTTTTGATTATTTATTGTCGCCTGCAGAACAAAGCGACACTAAGGGATCACTTTACACTGCGTCTGTCTGTCCGTCTGTCAGCCCATCTCTCCCGCCTTATATCTTGAGAACTGTAAGAGAGTCTGACGGATCTGTTTCATATTTAGATATTTTACTAGAAAAAGAGGTAAATGGTAACCTAACAACAAAGCTTTATGATAAACGTGACGACTTCAACTTCTCAATCATCATCTTCCCTTACTTATGTAGCAATATACCCTTATCACCTGCATATTGGGTTTATGTCTCTCAGTTGATTCGTACTCCAGAGCATGCTCTACGTATGAGCAATTTCTAAGACGAGGCAAGTTATTGACAATAAGTTGATGACACAAGGATATCAACAGTCTCGTTTGAAGTTATCATTTGGCAAGTTTTATGGTCGATAGAATGACCTTGTCAGCAAATACAACCTATCACTGAGTCAAATGCTGACTGACTTTTTTCATACTAATTGTTAGGCCATTATTTATACACTGAACTGTCAAAAGATTTTCCGGGTTTTTTCCCGATCATGATAAGGAGCAAACGGCGGTTGTGAACGGTCGTCAGGGGATGCTCACTCCTCCATGGCACCTGATCCCACCTCTGAATTCTGAGGTCCTTGTTTGCTCTGCTCCAAATTTGTATCGTTTCATTGGACTTTCGAGATTGAATACTGTTCGTTATCTTCATATTTCATGTATGGATTTGATATTTTACTACATTTCTTGGTACTATGATTTTGTAAAATACCAATATCACCGACCTTAACTTTTGAAAATGACCTTTGACCTACTTTCCAAAATAGTTCATAATACCGATATACAATTGAGTATTTTTTTTTAACCTTTGAGAAGAAAGCCTATGCTATTAGCATTATGAAAATACCAGTGTTACGATCCATTCTCCGAATGGTTAATTTGACTTATGTCTTTTGAATTTTGAGAGACAGTGCTTTGATAATTACATGTAGCATATATATTACATTATGAGCTCATGACACTGAACTTTCAAACTGTATGATATACAATTGCCACACAAACTGAAATTTAGAAATACAATGAAAATACACCAGGACCAGTATAGTCACCGAAATGGATCGTACTTCAAATAACGTTAGAGACTGACAATTGCGGGACAAACTGAAATCTCTAGTTATGAATCCGAGGTATTATTATAATAAACACTATGAATAAATGAAAATATTATATAATTATGTCTAATACATATAATTTCAATTTCATTATTCATGTTAATTTTGAGGGTTGGGGAATCATGTTTTACTTGTTTGTCAATGCCCATGATGGCGGACACTGAAGAAGACCCTAACTCAGATGAAGGTGCAAAGATGAAAGGATGTACATCTACAGTTAGATTTAGATTTGAACAGTATTTGTGTGATGATTCTTTGATTGATTTGTGCAAGAAATTCGACAAAATAACCTTAGTTGTCTTGCTGAATGTCATTGGGTAAGTTCACATAGGAATTTAGCAAAAATAATGTTAAATGTGAAAGTCGACCCTAAATAGATGTAACATTTCGGATGGACTGGTGGTGCATGAAAACGAAAAAACAGCAACCCAGCAAAAACGTAAGATACAAGCCATATACAAATCCAGGCACCGAGCAGTCCGATCCACCCAAGGTGTGATTCGCAAGGTGTATCTTCTTGCAACAAAAGTCGGTGTGCATTCCACATAAGGCTTCGAGTAGGTGGTATTCTCCCAAAACAAGCCTCTGAACATATTCCTTTTCATATTAAGAATTCGAAACAATTCTGTACTTTACAACCAAATACATATAATGCATCTATACATTCAGCAAGACAACTAAAGTAATTTTGACGAAACCAAGCAAAACATTATCGAACCTCCATCAAATACAGCATATCAAAAGCTCGTCATGTCCCCCAAAATTGCATGAATTTGATAAAAAAAAAAAAATTGAAAAATGCATATATATGCTTTTGTCATATCTTACCCAATTTTAGCGGTAATGTTGGAACTGGAATGCTTGATTCGGGATTAATAATATTACAATGATGATGATGATGAAGATGATAATGATAATGATGATTCCTATAATTATTTCATCATCATTATGAATGATTTCCATTGACTATACAGCACGGAGCGAGAAAGACGTAGACCTTTAATTACGTTTAGATATAAAGGTACTATTTTTTTTTCCATTTTACACTATTAGGAATTCTTATCCGTGGTGCGATTAAGCATCAAACTATTTTTTTCAATTACGTGACAAGACAACGATAAGGTTTACGAATGAATCATATAATGAAATGTTTCTATATTTGGTAATCGGAATACGTCATTCCTCCGCAAGAATGATATTTAATACTTAAATGTCAACCCCTTTAACGTGTTCTATCACGTTGTAAAATTTGAATTTGTCTCCACCAAAGAAATTGGCCGGCTTACACAACATCCCGGATTAGACAAAATTTTAAACAAATGAATTTACTGAAAGGGACATAAAGTTTAGATCGTATGTGGCAAAATTTCGGCACACACAACATCCGGAATGGACAGGTTACGCTTAGGAACATCTAAGTTTGGACATCATAACCTACTAAGAACCTTTCTTATTGCTTTTTTCACATTTAACCATACAATTGAGAAACATTTATAACTTGAAAAAAGGGGGGTTATACATGAAAAAGTCTATATTTATATAATTTCAGTATATTTTAACGTGGTCTTGCAAATATATAGATAAAAGAAATGATACATAATACAAAATGAAAGTGTCATAAAAGTATATTTTTAAGGTATATGGGTCTTTGCACCATATTCTTGGTAAACAAAAATTGTATATTTTTATGCAAACTTTGAGGATTAACTTTCAAAAAAGTGGAGCGAGGACCCACTCATATCGAAATATAGTGTTATAGTATGAGAAAATGACTCTTTTTGCCCGCTGAAGTGTGTTTATAATATTTCATAGGCAAATAATTTCAATCTTTGAGGGATTTTTGCAAGTTGTAGAGATTTTACATAAAGTATATTTTAATGTTAGATGAAATATCAAGGAAAATTGTGATATAATTGAAATTTAATTTTTCATCTTCATGTTTGTCACACTATAGGCTTTTCGCTCGTCATGTTCACCCATCTTCTTTGTTTGAAATCAATACAGTAAAACCAAACTTATGTCTCAAGACAGTACATGAAAAAATGAATAGTTTTCACTTTACTTTTGGTCACAAAGACGCCAAATCTCTTTGCATTTGTTCTGAGTATAGTCTCATTAATATTGTCGAATGATAAGTAAGATACAAACTTAGGATGATCGTAAGACAGTATTCATGCTGTTCTAAAGTTGGTATGAAATTTTTCATTACTCAGGGATGCTTAAGCCTCAAATGTCCAGAAAATACAAAAAATGTTATATATTAAAGATTTAAAAAAAAAAAACAGTCACAAACAGATTGATGGGCAAAAGATAATCTGTTATTTAAAAGAATCTTATTTGGGCTTTGTATCTGGAGCGCTATGTAATGACGAGGGTAGCCTGACGTTTAACAATATTTACAGAAGATTAGATAAATGACCAATATACTGATATCATGATGTTATGATGTACCAATGAATGATATGTGTTACCTCTCCATGGATTAGGCATGATGTTGGGAGAATGGATTATTTATATTGGGTATGTTTCTTTGGGTTCCTGACTGGCATCTTCCTGAAATGTAAGTTTCATTTTTTTTGCAAGGGGGAGGGGGGCGCTTGTTGAGTTTCTTAAATGTGACTTGAATGTTGCTGTTGAGGAGCGTGTAGAACTTATTAAGTTTATCATTGATACAACCATAATAACAATGGCTGCCATGCTTTTTTTAGCATGCATGCCTAATAACTTTGGTTGTGTAGAAAAGAACTATCGCTATCTTCGATGTGAATGGGAAGGGATCTCGGAAACATCCTGCTGGATTTTATCAAACTCCAGGTAGGTCTCGTTCAAATAAAATTGATATTTTTTTCAGTCACAGTAGAAATGTCATTTCACGAATTATCTATTTGTTTGAAAGGAGCGGGTCTAGAAAATTTAGGGAACAGATCATTTAAGGTCAGGGAGAGTATCTTGGGGGAAACACAGGTCATTTTCATTCAAAATTGTTAAGGTTATATGCAAATAAAAGAACACGTCCATCTCTAATCACTAAACATACAAAAGTATAGTTGACTGGATGAAATAAACACAGATAAGATATATATATATATATATATATATATATATATATATATATATATATATATATATATATATATATATATATATATATATATATATATATATATATATATATATATATATATATTAATTTTGAATCTTAATCATGCTTTGAAATTTATGCACGAACTTGAATGAATGATGATTTTTTTACCAACCATGCATGAAGTGTGTTTACAAAAGAACACGTGTTGGTGATATAATGAATATTTGTTATAATATATTCTTTAAATTAGTTTTTTTTTATTTTATAAAGGATGAAAGTAAAATTCAATTACATGAAATGTATGGAGATAACGAACAGTATTCAAGCTCAAAAGTCCATTAATCAATACATATTTTGGAGTAATATGTAGTACATGTAGTAATATGAGTGCTAGTATGCTTTGTGAAGGTTAAAGCACCTTACGTCATGATTTTCTTATTTCCCCTTTTCATTAAACCATTTCTACAGAGATTCCAATATCAGTATATGTGACATTCAGAGAAAAGGTGAGAAGCTGTTTTGCAACATCTCGCTTGGGAACTACAATCAGCTGGGTCTAAATGAATTCATCGTGATAAATGTATGCAACAACACAGAAGAGGCCAGAACGATTTCAACAACAGATGACAAAAATGGTACTATATCTTTCACTAACACTATGAAATGTTGCATTCTTCATTAAAATCATATAGTCGAAAATGTGATAGCTTATCCTAGCCTTCAAAAAAATATTTTCTCTCAGTACAATTAGAACCAGTGAATAATTTTCGCTCGATATGGGCATCAAAAACAATAGTAAATCTAACATGGACGCTACCAATCTCGCCCTGCGCGGTGAACGACGAGACCGGAGGTGTAAACTGCTCTGTCCTTATCGACATCACTTCTGCTGATCTGCCATCAAAGTCTGGATGGTTCTTACCCAAGGTAAACATGACACCTGTACAGATTGATTTTGTATAAAGGAAATTTAGTAAGAAAATTACAGAAAAGTAAAGTAAAAAAGAATCTTTGCACATCCAAACTTGCTTCTTTATCTCATAAATTTTCATTTCACTGTGACATTGGTCGGTATATTTTGATACGTAATTTTGCATACATTTAGCTATGAGTTAGATTCTTAACCTGTTTAAAAATGACTGTCTTAGGAATTTTGACACTCATATTCGAGCTATGCATTATATGATCTGGTCAGTAAATATAGAGGCTATGAAATTTATTTTCGATAGACATCAAATGACCACGCGTGAGAGCGGCAACGATTGCTGAAATACGATGCCGTCGTGTCGCATGAAATCTGCTCTAAATTTCATTTATATTCAAATTTATTTCTGTAAATTAGGTACTATTACATGCTCACACATTATGTTAATACCAGGCAAAGTAAGATTTGTCAAACTTCTTAAAGAGTCCTTAGAAACAAAGATACATTGCACGGTTAAGTAAATGATTTACCAAGCCTCTATGTTAATTCCTCATTAAAACTTATTTTTAGGTACTGTTCTATGACAGATTCAAGAAGTGATTTTAATCAAGTGGATCTTAATAAACGTGATAGAAATTTAAGGAAGTTTTATATTTCCAAATTTAAAAAAAAAATCAATAAAGTCAAAACCCGTGACTATTCAACGCGTCGTAGAACCATTCCTCACTGTGAATTAAAGACCAGGCTTTTTACATCAAAGACAACTAAGGCCTAGTTTTTTTTAATAAAAATGGTAACTCAGAAAAAATCTATAACTTGAGATTGGTTATCTTCAAAATTACTTTGTTAAAAAATTATTTTGATTGTAAACATAAGTACTTTGTAAGTAGATAATAAAAGATGCTGGAGGTCCTCTTTGAAAATATCTATTAGAGTCTTTGGAGACTCGGCTTTCTATCAATCTGTTGGAATTCCGATAGGCACTAACCGACCTTTATATTCTTATGAAGTAGAATTTATCTTAGAATTCCACACTAGAAAAAGAAAACTTTGCTAAGGTCTCCATTTCGAATTTAGATATATATACTTTGTTTTTTTAATTGACATTATATATCAACTCGATATATCCCAATTTGCTACAAAGTCTTCCAAATCTGTTTCGTATTTGGATACCATATATTCGGATGTTCTACTGACTATCGACGCTAATTGCAAACTACCTTGTAAACTTACCTTTATGACAAGCAGGATGACTTCAGATTTCCATCATCAATTTTTCATTTTATGTACATGTGTTTATATTACACTAGCACCTGCATATGGTGTTTATATATTCCAGCTGATTCAGTAGACAAGAGCATTTTCTGAGTAATTTATAAAGCGAGGAAGGCTACCGTCAAATAACTTGATGTTACAGGTCTACGTGCGTCAACATTTTCAAATTCTATGCCGTCATAATGATCCTGCTTGCAAATATAATCTATTGTTGGATTGTATTTTGACAGCCATGTTTTATACAAACTGCTATGTAATTTTTTTTAATATTTATCTTCACTATGGATTACACCCACTTACTTGATCAATACTTAGGGCTCATGGATGATGTAATGGGTCGACAGGGAACGCTTACTTCTCCTCGACACCTAATCCCATCTCTGGTTTTCAAGGGAGTTCTTTTTTGTTCGTTTGCTTGTATGTTGTTTAACGTCCCTCTCGAGAATTTTTCACTCATATGGAGACGTCACCACTTGCCGGTGGAGAGCTGCAAATTTTGTCCTATGCTCGGCACTTACGGTCATTGAGTAATGAGAGATCTTTATCGTACCAGCACCTACTGCGACACGGGGCCTCAGTTTATACGGTCTCATCCGAAGGACTGGTCTCCACGTCCCACAGTGGGATTCGAATCCGCGACGTATATAGATTATAGATTAACTCCTCACTTCGAGACTCTAGAGCAGACCCTCTAATCACGGGCGACCAAGGGGGTTTGTGTTCTTGTCTTGTTTACGATTTGTTTTGGTTTCAGGGTTTATTAGAATCATGACTTTATGTATATTCAACCTTTAGTATTCGAGCACAAAAGTCCATTAAACAATACAAATTTAGAAGCAGAGCTAACACGGACCTCTAAAACATCAGAAGTGGGATCAGGTGCCATAGAGAAATGAGCATCCCCTGCCGACCGGTCACACCCGCCGTGAGCTCCTTGTCATGATCGCGAAATAACGGAAAAATCCGTTGACAATTCATTGTGTAAATAATGGCTTAACAATTAGTATGAAAAAAATCAGTCAGCATTTGACTTAATGATAGATTGTATTTGCTGACTAGGTCATTGTATCGACCATAGAACTTACGAAATGATGACTTTAAACGAGACTGCTGATATCCTTGTTTAATCAACTTGTTTTTCAATAATTTAGCTCGTTTTAGAAATTGTTCATACGTAGAGCATGCTCTGGCGTATCGAATCAACTGAGAGACATAAACCCCGTATGCAGGTGATAAGTGTATATTGCTGCATAGGTATGGGAAGTTGACGATTGAAAAGTTAACGTTATCACGTTTATCATAAAGCTTGGTTGTTAGGTTATCATTAACGTCTTTTTCTAATAAAATATCCAAATATGAAACAGATGTGTCAGAATCTGTGGTATCTTTTATCTCAAGCTCATCGGGATATATCGTGTCGACATACATGTAAGAGTGGAAATAACCATTGTTTATTGACAATACTCGTCAGTATATCTAAATGTCGAGTTGAAGGCCACAGCAAGTGTTTTCTTCTTTTTATGCCATACAAAATAGGTCTGCTAATAACGGGGCACAATTGGTACCCATGGAAATTCCAGTAGATTGTTGGAAGACCTGGTCTCCAAAAACCACATAGATATTTTCAATCAGAAACTCGAGCATCTTTTTAATGTCAACTTCAGAGTACCTGTGTGTACAATCAGATTGTTTTTAACAAAGTAATTTTGCAAATGATGAATGACAAAGTAAGTAAATTTACGAGTTCCATTTTTATTGAAAAAGCAGCTGTCAACGATGTCAGAAAGTCCCGACTTTAAGTTATCGTGGGGAATAGTTGTATATAAAATTGAAAAGTCGTAAGTTTTTATGCTGTTGATTTTGGTAAAATTTTGTGATTTCAAATTTTCCAAAAGTTCCTTGGAATTTTTGAGTATCCACATCTGATTTACACCACTTCTCGAAAATATTGTTGCACAGTACTCTTGAAGTTTCTCCTTCACTACTGTTAAAATTTTAGTGAGGAGTAAAGAAAGAGGCTCGATAGAACATTTACTTGAACCCAATATAGATATGGTAATTCAAATTCATTTTGGTTGTTAGGAGTATTAAAAATATTCAAAACTGACGTATGATTTTGAAGAATTTCCTCCTTAGAAAGGGAGCTATGGGTATAAGTTTGATTACATATAAAACAAATCTTTTAAAAAGGTTCGATCATATCTTCTCAGGTACCCCCTAAGAGTAAATGGACAGCGATGAGCAAATCTGGTTCAATATGTACAAGTTCAGCTTCTATGTCCCTAACGTTTGAAAATCTTCAACCGTCAAAAAGTTACACTGCTGGGGTAAAATGTCGTCCTTTTGGTTCCAGATTTTGGAGCGGTGTTTCTGAATGTAACTTCACGACCCGTAATTCAAGTGAGTAGATGATTCAATATTCCCGAACGAAAAGTAACGCAATTAGAATCTGTTCTTTTTGTTATTAGTTTCTTTCCATGGTTCTTGCGCTGCATCTACTTTTAAATACAATATCTTCATGTTTGAAGAACCACAACACAGTCCATTGACAGACACAGGGTCCTATGTTTTGTACAAATGTGGAAGTTACAAGTGCCTTGCAGTGTACTGGAAAGTAAGATGATTTGTGTACGTCATTATAGCATCTTTTACATGTACTTGTATATACCAACATATTTAAATTAAGAAAACAAATTATTAATCATAAAACGAATTCAGAACATCTCTTAGTTTAGCTTTGATGATGTGAACTTACTTGAGAAAATGTCCGGTCTTTGACATTGTTGTAGTATCCGAAATTATTTATTTCAAAATATTAAAAAATATCGCAAGAAATAATTTTGGTCAGTGAGTTGTTTATAAGACATCTGGTCAAATGTTTAAGTCAGAAATTACTATTAAGACAAAGTATAAAATGAGATTTTTTACTCTAATTCAATCATGCAGACGACTCGATACTTGAATGAAGAGATAAGTGGTTATAGCGTTAACGTTTCACAAACATCGACACCAAACGACACTATGGTCAACTGCAATATGGCAAAATTATCAAACCTCCCTGTATTGCCCGTGTATACCATGTCAGTCTGGGCGTGGAACACTGCCGGAACCTCTTCTCTTTCAACAATAGAAATTACCGCCAAAAATTCCGGTAATGTGAATATTTTTTTTTCAATAAAAGTTCTCTTTTCCTTTAGTAGTATTAAATGTCAAATATCCATTGTTTATTGTATTGAAATAATGGAAACTTCTCTCTATTTTAGATGAATATAAGCCTCTTTTTGTGTCGTCTAAGCTTGTTAAAAGCTACACATTTGAAATAACATACAGCAGGGGAGCTCATGGTCCTCCTGTAGATACTGCAGTATATTACTGGTGTCGAGGAGATTTGCATGGTCTTGTAGTAAATTGTCAGGTACGTACAACATTGTCTAGCGCAAATGGCAATCTAAATAAATTTTCAATTTCATATTTTTGTTTCACACGATGATTATTGCCCTAAAATGGACTTTTACAAGAAAAACAAAAGATTTTTTAGGATACCATAAACTGGAAGAGAGTCAAAATTGAAAATGATGAAAAACATTTCGATACATACAAATACAATATAACAACAGCTCTTGAAGAGGGTCTACAATTTGCAGTGGCGCTTTTCAATAATGGATCGACTTCTGGAATGGTCTGGGGAAACACGGTTTATTTGACCTCCAAACAAGGTACGTCTGAAAATCGTAGAATTGAAAATTGTTCTATAAGCTTTTGACTGAAAGATGAGTAATTTGGCAGTAAAACTGGGCTGACAGAAGATAGGTTTCCTAATTAAGAAACGGGCCTCCATCTTAAGTGAAACTTAGAGATATTCAGGATTCCAGTTAAATATCCACATATGATTATGCTTATGTCAAAACTATAGATAAACAGATGATAGGGATGTTACAGAATAATTCGTAAAGGACGAGATCTTCAACAATGGTTCTTGTATTTGACACCTTACAATTAAGTATATGTGAATTGTATTTTGATCCCCTGCTGTGTGTATTATCTAGCATCGTCAAACAATCGTAACATAAAATTATCACTTTTAATAATTGATAACTTTATATAATATATACCCCTACGCTATTGGAACTGTACTGACACCTGCTTACAATGAAGAATGGAGGAACTTTACAAGAGTATTGGACAGGAATACTCTGCATTAGAAGAACGTTAACCAGTGGCACCTCAGACAACTATTCAAGGACTGATCCTTCTGTAAAAAAAAAATCAAGAGATTCACGATTCACACCAACAACTCTAGACAAGCAACCTTTGTGTATAGTTCTATTCCGTCCAGATAACAAATACCATACATATGATAAACATGTATTTTGTAACAGACAGAGGTTGAATAGTTCTTAATTATAAATATTGTGTAATGGAAACAAAACAAAGTATACCTTAAATTTGCTTTTGCATTTACAATAAGGAATCATACTAAACTCTTTAAAAAAACTTAACTGGTTAAATGAACATAGAGCTTCAGTTAATTTGTTTTTAATTTGACAAAATCTCAATCTGTTTGGCAGAAAAGCAACCAAACGTTTGTTTATAATAAACAAAAAAATGGTCGAGAATACTTTGATGTTTTTCAAAGACATACAAAAATACTCTACATTACTAACTTTTTTTTTTACAGATTCTGTTCGGAACACGGGGGACTCGGAGTCTACGACAATAGCTGTTGTCATATCTGTTACAGTAGCAGTCATGATTTTAATTGCGCTGTCAATTTGGTGGAGAAGGTAAGATATATCCTACAACAACTACAACAAAACTCAAGAAATAAAGTAAAAGTAATGTTTTTTATAAAACAATTTTAAGATATATAGATTATCTTAATGTCAAGACATAATATTTAATCTAAAGACATAATATTTAATCTAAAGACATAATATTTAATCTAAAGACATAATATTTAATCGAAAGAAGAGTAGAACTGCAAAAAGATAGTCTTCTGTTTGTTTGTTGAAAATATGATAACAAGCATGTAGTTATTAAATATTGTGATATCGTACACATATTTCCTTTTTTTCAAACAAACAGTCGATGCCAAATAGACAGAACTTCCCATATTGAAATTCCAGATATAGTTTCAACGAACCATAGGACTGATGATGCAAGAACTTCAGCATATAATTAAAATAATTTCATAGTCTAATGTACTTAAAGGTATTTTTAATTTCTAAAGCTTGTTAAAATTTATCTTAATTGGACAATGAAGCAGTTTATGTAACCTTTTTTTCATTATTCAGCCAAAGAAAAAACGGTCTTGCTGCATTATTTCATAACTTATTTTTCATCTCGTTAGGTAAAATCACTCAATCATCACAGAAAGCAGAAAAAAAGTGATCTTTTCTTAATTTTAACACGCTAAATTATGGTAATACACTCCTGAAACACAATAATGAATTTATTTAGATCAAAATCAACGACGAATACTGTAGCTAAAAGAGAGAGAAAAAAGAAAGAGAGAGAGAGAAACTTATTCTAAGAACTGGTGATGGCTTTCTACCCAAGCACTTTCAAGAATCAATGAACTCTTTGAAGTGGACAAAGTACTTCTACTCAACTAGCAATCCGTCTGAAACACCTTGTATTCCAAACACTTTGCTAGAATTGTTTCCTTCTAAAGAAATATATTACGAGTCACCTCTAAGTATAATAGAATTTAATTTAATAAGAACAGATATAAAACTTATGTTTGCTTAAATCACAATAACATTCATCTCATCTACAGTTTATGATATTCATTTTATCTATGAAATATAAGGAGATAACGAACAGTATTCAAGCTCAAAAGTCCATTAAACAATACAAAATAGGAGCAGAGCAAACACGGACCTCCAAAACATCAGAGGTGGGATCAGGCGCCATGGAGGACCATGCTTTGCATACAGTTGATCTTGTTTCAGATAATAATCAATATCAGTTGATAAACCTGTGTAGGTGAGCGGGTGTATATGTGTGTGAGTCAACCGGTCTCCATTTTATTTCGTAATATTATTTAATACTTTTAAAACACAAAATATATATTTACTGTTTCTTTAATTTGTTTTTATTTTGCTTTCCTGTTTTCATTAATTGCTTACAATGTTTATAAATGTAACGCCTTCTGTCCATTCCATGTACAATTATTTGTAAAAATGTCTAAAAGTAATAAAATGTTCATGACATTCAACTGTCTGCTAATATTTTTCTCTAAACCACTTTAATAGTCATACGTTTTTCATAAATAATTTGTTTTTGCTTTTGTAGTATGGCATATATTTGTAAAAATTAACGCCCAATGTTATGTAAAAAAAAAAGTGCAATAACATTCAATATTATTCTGTTTATTACACCCTTACTTGTAGGCGTAGAGCTAAATGAGTCGGGTCTTTTCTGTCAGGTTTCAATTTTGAAATACGTAAACATGGCTGCACGTTTATATTTGGCAAAACAACAAAATACATATACATTAGGAAGGCCATCAGGTTACACGTGATCACACAAACAATACACTCCCACGTGCCCAGGAGAATGAGGGTCCCCTGTCGACCGGTTACACCCTCCTTGAGCCCTATGTATTGATCTGGCCCCAAGACCATAAACTGAGAATAGACTTTAGTCAAAATTTTAAATCAATATAACTTTTGAAATAATTTTGATAGTGAAACAAAATTCTCATTATATGTTTGAACTTGAATATAATACAAACCTGCAAATGTTTATGCTAAATAAAACTCAAGATATTCAAAATCAAAATTTTGACTCAAGTCTGTTCTCAGTTTGTGGTCTAGAGGCCAGATATACTGAGTACTTCGTACTCAAATCAAGAATAAAAGCAATGACCTTACAAATCATACGACCCAACGATAGGTTGTATTTACAAACAAACTAAAAGATTTTCGAAAAACTGACTTTAAACATGGTTGTTGAAGTTATTGTAACATCAACTCATTTGTCAGAGGCTTGGTTCGGTTTAAAGATTGATCGCACTTAGATCATGCTCTTGTGTATCGAATCAATTGAGAGACATAATCACCATTTGCAGTTGTTGATGGACTAATACTATATAAATAAAGGAAGCTGACGATAGAAAAGCTGGTCATCCCGTTTGTTAGTTATTTGTTGGGCATTATCGTTTATAGTTGGTAAAACATCCAAATATGAAACAGATGTGGCAGACGCTGTAGTGTCTTTAATTTTGATTTCACTGGGATAAATCGAGTTGACTTATGGATGATAGTAACTATTGTTAATTGATAAAACGTCGTCGATATATATATCTAATTGTCGAGTTGAAGGCCAAGAGTTTTCTTCTCATGTAGGAGTCTTTGAATAAATTCTGCTTCATGGAATATGCAAGCAGTTCGGCTAATAAAGGGGCACAATTAATACCCATCGAAATTCCAGCAAATTTTTAGAAGACCTGGTCTCCAAACACTTTATAGCTACATAGATAATGTTTACGGGGATCTCCAGCATCTTTGAAATATCAATTTCAGAGTACTTGTATGTAAAATCAGAGTAATTTTTAACAAAGTAATTTTGTTGATGACCACTCAGAAGATATGAAAATTTTCAATTTCAATTTTTATTGAGGAAGCAGTTGTCTATGACGTCAAAAAGTCTGCTCTTTATTTTATCATGAGGAATGGTTGTATAAAGCGTAGAAAATTCATATGTTTTGATGCTTCATGGGAATATAAATAATAATAATAATAATAATAATAATGATAAACAAATATATTATCATGACATATAAAGTAATATAATTTGTATTTGTAAGATTTGACACCATATACATGTTCTAAAGATATAAATCAGAGTAATGAAATTCTATTGATGAAGATATATTTTTCTACATTTCGTTTAAAGACTGACATAGTTGGTGCACATCTTATATCTAAAGGCAAACTGTTCCAAATATGAACACCAGAATATTGGAGAGAATTTTATAAACAATTTTTTTGCGGTGTTTTGGCAGGCGAAGGTCTAAATTAGAACGTAATTCTGAAAATTCTGAACGTAAAGTGTAAGCATTAGAAGTTTGAAAAATAAATAAATCTTGCAGGTAAGCAGGGCTTTGATTGCTAAATATTATGTACAACAAGATACATATTATAAGATTTTAAACTTCCCAAAGGTTCTTTGGAATTATGTTAGAGCATTTTTTATCCACTGTTATTGTTCCAAAACATACTATTTAAATTGTTTAACGGATTAAAGAAATCCGATTTTTCTTATCACTTTTGATGAGACTTTGGTTCAGTTTCTAGCTTCTTTTATCAATACAGTATGGTAAAGGAGGACATAACATGAGGAACGAACACCGATTGTCAAAATTTGGCCTTCAATTAGACATTTAGATATTTGAAGGAAATTTATCAATTAACGATATTCATTTTCTACATAAATATTGGAAGTTGGCGACAGAAAAGTTGAATTCATTCCGTTTATAATAATGTTTAGCTGTTCGTTTTGCATCAATGTCTTTCTCTAGTAAAATACCGAGTATTCATCTATGAAACATATATGTCAGACTCTATTGTGTCATATGTAGAGTTCAATGGAGAATATCGAGTTAACGTTTCAAATAGGCAAATACCATTAATAGCTCATATAGTTCCTCTCAATTAATTCAATAAGAAAGTGCTACGTAAAACAACTCCTAATCCGACGAGAGCTACTGACAGATAAATTGATTATACAAGGGTATCGAGGGTCTCATTTAATGTCTCGATTTCGCAAATTCAAGAGTCGATATACTGACCTTGTTTGCAAATACTCTCTATCGTTGGGTCGAATTTTGACTGATATTTTTCATATAAATTGTCAGGCAATTATTTTCATACTGAATATTGGTTTACCGGAGCATGACAAAAGGATCACGCCGGATGTGACTAGTCAAACGGGGACACTTACTCCTCCATGGCAGCTGAACCCACCTCAAAATTTTTAGGGGTCTGTGTTTTTCTTCTCTAAATTTTTATTGTATAGTTGGAGTTTTTAACATGCTTGATGTTCATCTTCTACACATATTTTATACGCAAATGGCTTTCTGAATACGAAATTTTTTTTTATTAAAAATTACAATAAACAGGTATGTTAAAAAATCGTTAACAAGGATCAGGTTGTCAAAAATGTTGTGAAAAAGGGCGCTAAATATAGTAATAACAGGATAAGTAGAGTACATTTTAAATGATCATTTATCTATCATTTCTCTATCCGAAGCTAAAGAAATGCAGATTTCATTATGTTGACAAAGTTCCATATACAGATAAAAAGAGTCTGACAATTTCCAAAAATACTAGTACATGCATATTTTTGTTTTTTATGCTCTTGAAAGCTACACTTGTAAACTAAGGCATGAAATGTTTACCTTAAATACACGTATTCTTGATTTTTTTTTCATCGACTAGAGATAGTAAATGATTAATTTTATGATCCCCGTCGAAGATAAATTCTTGTTCAACATCTGTTTCCTTTTGTGATTTTGCCATTGAGATTCTTTTGCTTGAAATTAACCATTATAAAAAGTTAACAAACAGGACATATGTGCTATAATACACGTATGGTCTGCTGCAAAATTAGCAGAGGTTTTTACCATCAAATGTAGGTAACTTCTGCCTATAAACGAGAGCTGTTTGAAAAAATTGTATAATAAATGGTATTTTTACAGATATTGCAATATTCGTTGATACTGAAATGCATTTTGCATGCTTATGAAGGTATTAGTCATTAAAAAAAAACTACTGTA